CTACTGAGGGAATTAAGTTGCTTCTTTTCAAATTTGGGGTTTATTTTATGCCTATGTGTACACAGAAAAAAGTTTGAGGCTGGGACCCCTAGGATGGAAGGATTCCAAATTGCATGGCACGGCTGTTACACCTATAACATACATGTGCATCTACTGGGAAACTTTCTAAAAATATTTCTCATCAAATTAAATACACTAATGTTTATTTGCAAACAGGATTCTGGTCTGGGAATTGGTCACTCAGGAAGACAACTTAGGATCCAAAGCTAGGAAGAAAAGGTCAGAGGTTGAGAAGGTGGTCTTGGCCAACTAGGTTGAAGTAGGGTACTAGCATTTCACAGTGGACGCTGGAACATTTCTGAGAAACAGAATATGGCAGAGATTCAGAATGTGGCAAGAGGAGAACTTCAGTATAGCAAATCCTAAGAGTCCTTGAGGAGAAAGGCAACAGCCAATTAAAGATGGCCTGAAACTCAGAGATGGACTCTTTCAGGCTCAGAGAAAGCAGCTGTGTGTCGTATCATCTTCTCTATCAGAGAGCCATGGGCCTGAATCTGCCAGAGCTGTGAGCTCTGCAACTTCAGGGAAGTTGTTTTCCAAACCTCACTTTTTCCCCTCAGTGAAATGAGACTAATGATACCTTGTTCAACTGCCATGAGGATTACATGAATGAGCCCCTGCATGTGTGAAACACTGCGGACACTGCATAACATATGGGAAGTGCTCAATAAACATGAATTAGAAGTTTAGTAAAAGCGTGGTCATTCACTCTGAATAAAGTGATTTCAGATCAGCACTTAGTTGAAAATGGTACCCACTCCATGGTTTGACTCGAGAGGCACGGGAAGCCATTCCACTTCCAAAATATGATCTCTTGACCTCTTTTTAAAAATAAGGTAAGTAACCCTCTTCCCTACCCTCTCACTTACTCCTCCACAAACATCACTCACCCCTACTCTCCACCCATTCTTGAGGTAGGACATCTTATTTTCAAGAATGTACAATTACAATGCACACATTTTGTCCAGGAGGGATTAATTTGCAACTCATTGCTACAGATTCATTAATTTATCAGTTTAATTTGTTCAATAACTCTCTTATGGTTCAATTTCTATCTGTAAATTGGGGAATGATAATGGTACATACCTTACATAATTGTTTGCACATTAAATAATTCATGCAACGTGTCTGGAACTCAGTAAGTGCTCAACAGATGTTGGCTCATTTTGTAATTGTTGCTATTGATTGTAAGTGATAAGCTGCAAAGTCTCATGGTTATGACTGTAGAATTGAAAAATACAGAAGTAACAGGAAGGAAAGTTCTGTAATGCAGGGAGCTGCCTAGTTAAGCAACACAGGGGATGGGGACCAGAGATAGTGTAGAAAGGCATGAAGGCAGGATTTCTTATACCCTTTTCTGTTACTCTACTTCTGAGATACTTCTACTTCTACCCTCTCCAATCCTAATATACCATTTGAGAAGGGGGGGAAAGAAAACAATCTCTTCAAATTTCATTAAATGGTTCATAAGCCACTTTTTTTCCCCTTCTAAGTAAAACCAGACTGCAAGATATAAACACTCCTAATGAAAGATTTTCTCAGCTCTGTTAATTAGTGTCAATTGCAGTGGTGGTTTTTGTTTCAAATCCATTCTCGTTCGTCACTTTACCCTTACATGATGCTAGATGAGACTGCAGTGGACAAGAGGTAACCCCTAATGAATAATCCCCAGGCAAAATGGTTTGGATGCATTCCTGAGGGCCCCAGGGAGGTTTGTTTATTAACCTCATATGGGAGAACAACACGAAAAAGTGAGAAAGAGGCATACAATGAGCAACCGGATGCAAAACTGTCAAAGTGGAAAGGTGTGATGGAGAATAGACATGTGTTTAAAGTGCATATGCTGACATCTCTTGTAGCAAACACCAAGTTCTGTGGTGGAGATTCCGGTTAGGACTGGATGATTGTAATGGCTAACAGTAGGAAAGATACCTACATAAACATCATTCATCTTCCCTCATTCATTCAACCCATATTTATAGAGCTCCTACTTGGGATGCAGCTCACAGTTTTACTGGTAAGACAGTCATCCCAATGAATCATATGAAAGAATGAATGAATAGATGGATGGATAGGTGGACAGACAGATAGTTAATGGTACTGGGTTAAATACAAGAAGGTTAACTAAAGATGAGATGACAGTTCACTATAAAGGAATGACTAATTTAGGGAAGGGAGATTATATTCTAAAATGACATGCAGAACTAAGATCCAAGGGGTAGGTAGCAGTTAGCCAAGGAATGTTTGAGGAAGAAAAGGCACCAAGAAGAGTAAGAGTCTTCACTACATGGAAGCAGAACTCTTCCTTCATGCCTGCAACACCAAGCAGCAGCCAAGGAAACCCAGCAGTTGTGGGAGGACAGCTTATAATTATAGGTCCTGATTCTGTCTCTGGAGTTGGTTGGGCATGGCAAGATATGGTGACTCTAAGGTGGGATGAGGCAAGATACGACAATGTCAGTGCTCCTCCCAGTTGATAGAAGTCATGGCTATAGGAGATGTAATCTGTGGGTGAGAACAACTTTCCGGAGTTCTCATTTTAGCTTAAATAAGAAGATAAATGACCTGTAACACTTGCTGTAAAGACAGGGAGCTGACATGTAAATGTTAAGCTTCAGAGTAATGATATCCCTTCAAGACTATTTATGTTACAGTCACATGTGGCTTTGGAATGAAAACCAAATGGCAAACAATAAAAGTCTTTCAAGACAACCAGTTCTGCAAATAACTGTAATCCTGAGCGAATGCTTCTTCTTCCACTAAGTTATGTGCCCTGAGTGGTTCCAAAGCCCAACAAAGGCCTTCGCAGTGCTAGACTTGCCAATGGCCAAGAGGATGGCAATGAAGATTATTTCAGTTTCCTTAACTGGACACTCACTCACCCAGCTGCTTTACAAATCAAGACTTAAATCACCTCAGTTATATGTAAAGAGTACAAGTGTCCACATGTTTCAATTTTGGAGTTTTGAATTCTAATTTAATTCTCAGTGCATCTATACCAACACATTTTGAACATTTTAAAATAAAGCTGAAGCAGATGCTGATTACATTAACAGAGAGAAGCAGCACTGTTCTTATTTAAGCCAGAGTGGGTCTCCTAATATGCACCTGCCTGGTCCACTCCCCACCCTGCAAACAATATGACTATGCAGCCTCTGAACGTGGCCCTTGGGAACCCTCCAGGGTTCCAAAGAACCCAGTTTGAAAACACAGCCAACACTAGCACAGATGTGACTGACACCTTCAATGCCAGTTACCTCCTCCTGTGCTGAAATTACAGTCAAACCAGGCTCTCCCAGCTTTAAACCTTCACAGTAAAGCAACTCTGAGGTAGACCCATCTCAGAGTCAATCCATAAAGCCATTTGAGTGTCACACTAATCATTTTAGCTATAATCCCTACCTTAAATTTATTCTTCTCCTCACAACTTGAATGTACCCAGAAAAAAGAATTTGTGGTGTACTGCATTTAATCTTAATAAATAAAGTAAAATCTATTTTCAATTTTAGATGTGGCATGGTTGCCATATTTTTTACATAAGAACTAATTTCAGGAAAAAGACCCATGAATATACATTTGCACTTTGTAGAGAAGTACAAGATTTATCCAGCTCAAGTAAGTAAAGCAGCTGGCTAGTAAGTTTCTTTAAGTGACTTCATTCATTCACTCACTCTAATAATATTTCCCTTTTATTTTTTTTTAACTGGAGTATAACTGACTTACAATATTATATTAATGTCAGGTGTACAACATATTGATTCAATGTTTTTACACATTATAAAATGATCACCATGATAAGTCTAGTTACCATCTGTCACCATACAAAGTTATTACAGTATTCTTGACTACATTACCGATGCTGTACATTACATCCCAGTGATTATTTATTTTATAACTGGAAGTTTGTAGCTCTTAATTCCCTTCACTTATTTTGCCTATCCCCCTGACCTAAAATATTCTTTGAGCCTGTACTATGCCACTGTATCCCTGGAAAGTCTACACACCTCATTTGTTCTTTCAGTCATGGCAACATACATTCATCGTGTGCCTGTCACATGCCAAGACCTTGCCTTCAGGGAACTTAGAGTCTTTCCAGTTAAGAAAGATTGCTTTTGGGAAACAAATCAACTAGAAAATTAGAAATGGTGATGAGAACTATGAATAAATTAAACAGGGTGAGAAGATAGACCATGACAGTGTATATAATAAATAGAGCTAAAATATTTTTGGAGACCTACCAATATAGCAATTGAAACCTGTTGAAAGCACAAGAAACAACTTTCGGAGGCAATGCCAACAAACCATATTTAGCCCCTTCCCTGAGCAGCAAATCAGCTGTATCTGGAAAATTCTTAGATTTCAGCACTTAGTAGGAACTACAAGAACTACATTTCTAAAGCCATACTTTTTTTTAAACTGCTGCTCAGGATAATTACCACACTATCATTATGATATTCCCGTATCTCTCAATCTATTCAAGTAAGTTAACATACGATAACAAGTTTCAGGACATAGACACATGAAAAGGAAAAGAAAAATTCACTTGGCAGAGAAAACAGTGGAGTCAGGAGATAGAATTGTGTGATTTAATTTAGAGTGAGGACTCAAGATTCAGAACGGACCAACTAGTAATGGCTTTACAGGTAAAATGTTCTTGGGGAGATAAAACTGCCATTTGAATAAGCAGCGGCTGTATTTCAGATGGGCAGAAGAGCATATATAAAGGTACTAAGGCTATATGATCTACCTTTCCATCTATCTGTTTGTCCATCGACACATTATGGTTTCAGTCCCTGTTCCAAGTGCTTTGCATACCTTATCTCATTTAGTCCCTAAAATATTCAATATGTAGCAAACAACTCATTATTACACTCATTTGTTTGAGACTGGGTTTCTTTTAAGTAGAGCAAAAAATCAGATTTTAGGTGAACGTGACTTACCGGGATCAGCAGAACCCAGACAGGGTGAGAACAGTGAGGCATCCAAAAGCAAAATTTTAGGAAGCACTCCTTCTCAGGGTTGGGCAACTGGCATGACCTTGATGGTGAATGTTTCCTTAAATTCTGCCCTCTAGGTGCTTCATTCTCCTCATCCTAGTCCAGATCCTTGGGCAAGCTCTTAGAACAAACCTGTAATGTAAGGAGTGAAGCAGGACAGTGAAGCTGAGAGACCAGATGGAGAACATGGTCCTAGGAAAGTCCAGCCCTGGGCTGATCCACGGCAGGAGTGGTGTTCTGGAACAACACAGAACGGCGCATGGGTGCTGGCCTTTTGTACCCCCTCTATCCACTCTATACAAGGTCACTGCCCGCCCTTGAGAGGCACAGGTATAAGCTATTAGCTGCTGGAGTGGAGGACTTGGTGCCATGGTGACTGAAGTGGATCTGGATGGGGCACTAATGGCATCTAATACATTATTTTGAAGAATCATCATCTAATATTTAATGAAGGCAGCAAATCTTTAATTGCTGTTCTCGAGGAAGTCCTGATGGATAGCATATGCCAATTTGCCTAGTGTAAATACTCTCACCAAGGCTGATTTTGAGCTACCAACATGATCTGTGAATGTGCAGTTTGCAAGAGAGGCGCCCAATCTCCAGGACCAGGGCATGGCGCTTCAGCAACTTAGCAGTCAGAAGGGAACCAGAATTTGACTACAGGTTGTCTGACATCACACATCAAGGCAAATCCACAGGGTCACAGAGCACAAAGCAGCCAACTTTTCCTGTCAAGAGCCAGGTAAGAAACGTGTTCTGCTTTGTGGTCTCTTGTCACAAATACCCAATTCTGCTGTTGTAGCATGAAAGCAGACTACAGACAGTATATAAAAGATATGGCTTTGTTCCAATAAACTTTATCTACAAAAGTGAGCAGTAGTTCACACTGAGATCATGGGTTGCATTTTTGTCAACATCAGCTCTAGCTGTTACTTAATATTTTTCTTAATATTTGTATAATAAATAACATCTGCTACTTAATTGTTGAACAGGGTCAACATCGCAGTTGGGGAAGAGAAACACCTAGAACACAAAATCTGCCTGCCCCTAGGCCTGGTCCCATTACAGAGTCACCCAAACTAGACTGACAGGTCTACTGTTCAGGGTTCAGTTGTTCAAATCTGAACCACTTTAGCAGAAAAGGATGTAACACATGGAATTAAGGGCTTGCAAAATTGTTGGAAGGGCAAAAGAAGCTGGAGAAGCAAGGCAAGCAGCCCACCGGGGAGCTCCTATATCGCCTCCCTCAAGAATGTGAGCAATCAGGAGGCTGTCCGTGGAACTTTTGAGTTCAAAGACACAGGGACACAAGCATGGTCCAGGATCAGGATCACCACCACTTAACCCACAGGAAGTCAGAAAACGGCACTAGAACACTGCTGCAAACAAACCTAACACCTTTAGGCTCAAGCCTACCAGGAGCAAGAGCTGGAGCAACAGGAAAGTGCCCCTCCCTTGCTTCCATCTTCCAAATACACCTGCATGCACCTGTGTGAACCTAATTTTCTTTCAGAACCCTAGCTGCAAGAGAGTCAGAGAATTGTAGATTTTAGATACTCAATTGATGACTCTAGAAGAAAGATGAAATAAATGCTAAGTGACAGCTGACTGCATTCACCACAGTAGGCATCCTAGGAAATACTTCATTTGATGAGAACTTAAGGCTACTTGCCCAATAGGCATGAGATTTCCCTACGACAAATCTAGTTCCAATCAGAAGTTCCTGCTGGTAAAGGAAACACCATTTGTGACCCTAGATACACATACATACACACACACACACACACACACTCTCACTCTCTCTCTGTCTCTCTGTCTCTCTCACATGGGCCTAGAGTATATGATGGGATTAGTGATGTGGATCAGAAGTTTATAGGTCAGGGTTGGAGGATGAGAGTCTAAGATGCAGGGGAAGAACTGCATCAGGCACAAAGAACTGGGTCAGGGAATATCAGGAGTGGTGGCAGTGAGTAGAAGTAGTAAAATGAGGAGCCTATAGAACAATAGGAGTTGTGAAGGGGTAAATGCCAAGGGAAAAACTGAGAAAATGTCTTGCACAGGTCATTCATCTTAAGGGAACCACTGCTTTGTGACCGCCATATCTGTTACTAATGGAAGAAAAATACTAGCATCGTTCCCCGAGGTCAGAGATGTGTGCAATTAAGTAATACTAAGCATGTTACAAATACACAGTGCTTTACAGACTGCAATTCATTAAGCACTGCCATGAAAAAAATTTATGAGTCAGTCGAAATGGAGCTATTTCCTTTAAAAATGTTTTGCATTATGAAATAGGATCTAAACAAACATATGCTACATACATGTGATTATGAATTAAAATAACAAAATATTCTTGAATCCACCATGTCGCTTAAGAATTTTACAGCTGGAGCTGCCTGGGTGTGTTCACCCTGGTATTTTTGACCCATCCTTCTTCTTCATTCCCAAGCTTATGATTTTTATTCCCTTGCTTTAAAAAATACATAGTTTATCACACATACATGTCAACTGAAATTATTCCAAGTTTGCATGCCTCAATTTATTTCTAATTGATAGAAATTAGTATTATTGCTAACAAATGTTTTTCAAAACCTATTTTCAGAATTAAAAAACAAACAACAGTCTTCGGTATTTACAAAAAGGATGGATAAAAGAAAAGCAGGTATCTTCCTTCCATGAATGTTTAATTCACCTAATAATTCAAGCAACTCTTCATTTAAAAAAATCACTTAATCACAAAATCCTTTTAGACATATTAGCCAACTAAAACAGTGGCTAATTTCCACTGTTTTTCACAATGGTGAGCCAGTCGCATAGTTAATAAAATTAAGCTTCCTTCATTTCTCTCACGTTCGCCCCACAAAGGAGAGCTGTCACCAACAAAATGCAGCCCAAGTACGTGGCTGTGCTGGTTTCCAGGACTTGAGCCATCACTGATTTGTCACACCGCCTCTTAACAACATATTTGTATTTTGCAAAATGCGTAATTTTTTTTTAGCCCCTGAACAAATATATTTACATAACTGTGTCTAACAAGAAATTACATTTAACTTCTCAGAAATGACAATAACTAAAACCTGAACTGCCAATTCCACTTCATTAGTGTGGAAGAAATGCATTCCAAATGTTAATAAAAATTCCAACATGCTGATAAATTAGAGCTTCTAAGGAGCATGTGACACCTTGGTTAATATATTCAACCTCAATTATATTTCTCTTCAGCACCCTGTTATCTGGAACCTTTGCTGGCAATCAGAGGTGCTGTTTTTCAGCGGCCAATTTTCTAGATAATGTAGCTTATCAACACTGTGGGTAAACTTGCCAATGGAATCAGGCTGCACTGAACCACACACACGCTAATTGCATCCCTTTTTTATGCATATTTACAGACTGTCACTTCAAAGAAATCAGTGGCCCATTGAGGCACCCAGTTAGCTGGAAGAATTGCCTCTTGCAAATGAAAATTAGCAAACAAGCCAGTGATAAATATGAAATGAACAAAGTAGAAAAATCCTGTTTTGTTCCGAAACTTCCTTGTCATCCCAATTTACACTCCCAAATAGAAGGAGTTTTGAACACAGGATGTGCCTTTTGTTTCAAATGAAGACAGAAAGAATTCTTCCTTCAACCCACTAACTAGGTAAAAGCCTATTAGCTTTTTCTCTCCTCTCCCACGCCACCCCCACCCCAAATTTCTATTCACATAAACAGGTTATTAAATCCCGTATTAGATTTGCTTTGGAGTTTGAATAGACAAATGACATGTTAACACTTCAGAAACAATTAACCCCGGGAACTTAATTAAGTTCTTCTGACTTTAAGGAAGCATATTTCAAAATAATATTTCTAAACTCTCCAAGTTTGCTCGAAAATAGCATTGCTTTCCTTCCTAAAGTGTTCATAAGTTCTCTTAACAGAAGGAAGCTTTGCCTGGCTATATATGGATAAAGGTTATGGTGTTATGAGCCTGCTCTAATTTGACTAACTCAGGGTGAGTATAAAAAGAGACAGGTGCCAAAAAATAAAACATTTTTAAAATTTCCTAAAGCTCCTAACATTGGCCATGTATAAAAGAGAAAATGATTTTATAACTATGTCCTGGGAACTCCACACAAACGAAAGCACTGAGATATGGGTTGTGTGTTTGTCTGAAGTCCTCTCCCTTGCTTTTTAGAATGACATTTTAAAATCTTTCACCACTAGGACAATGTTTTTAAGGCAATATTAGGTTTTGGAAAACATGTCATTTTAATATAAGCAGATCATTTTAATATAATTTAAAATAAACCACATACCAATTAAACTATAAATACTTTCAAAGGGCTTGTGCCAAACTGAGCAATTCAGAATGGCAAAACTCAACAAATAAATGGCACTTAACGTCTTAGCTTACAGCCCAGGTTCAGTGATACTTTATTTGGTTTGGAGTACTGAGCATCATGCCTGCTGTATTTCATAGTTTCAACAGACTCCTAAATTCCTCGTCACTAACATGAGATATACAATGTCATTGGAGAGGTGTTTTTTTTTTCCTTAAAGAGCACAAGCAACAACATAAATATTGATACAAACACTGCGAAAACATCGCTATTTTAAGAAACACACTACACCTACATGCCTACTGCTCATTTCCTCCCTCAGAAAACAGGGTTCTGTAGTAAATTAGCGTTCATCTGTGTGCACTAATTTAGACAATTGTTTTATATCGCTTTCCAAATTGACATATCACTGCGTATTGATACTTGTGTCTCCCAGCCCAGACTGGGAACTCCCTGAAAACAGGAATATAGTTTTGCGGAAAGATGACTAAGACATAGACCCCACCACCAAGCAGTTCAAGATGTAGGAGGGACAGAGAAAGACGCTGACTTCCGCAGCTACCCTGTACCAGGGAGAGGAACAAAGAGCTATGGGACCCAAAGAAAAGACCGGTTAACTCTGCCCAGGGGTCTGGGAAAGAAATCACACGATTGATGACGTAAGAATCAGATCTTAAGAGATAAGTGACACTTCAATGCAGCAGGGAATGACCTTTCAGGCACACCAAGTAAAACAGAAGGCAGAAGGGTAAATGGACCAGTCGTGGGAGAGATTTTTGGCAATGCTAAATCTTGGCGGGGGTGGTGGGGCCG